TGCTAAAACCCTCCAGGGAGTTCGGGGTTGAGAGCACAACCCCGAAGTATTGGTACTTTTGTAGTTATTGCTTCACTTTCCTTCACCACAACCTGGCATCAGTAGACTGGCTTTACTGAACTCTGATGTGTGGACCCAAGTTTGGTTCAGTAACACGGAGGCCTCCCAGGCTCCCACTTTCTTGTGCCCCAGTGACTGTCAGCACTTCCTCCAGAGTCCACGGCCAGTCCCCACAATAATTCTCCTCTACCCCTAATCCTGTGGTTACTCGTTACATCGTGGTATTGATGATATCCAGATGAGCCAGCTTTGCAAGGCAGACACTTCTGGACTTGACACTGGGCCCCTTTTCATGGATAGGATGGAATGACTATTCTCATGGCCCCCATGGTGGAAAAGCTCACCTTCTGATGAAGCCAGGCCTTGATCCTTTCTAGGCGATTCCACGGTCCTCATTCTCCCCAGACTCCCACCCACACGGCTGCTGTCTGTGCCCATCTATATGGGACCTTGGTACTCTCCTAAAATGAACATGATTTTATACACAGATAATGCACTTTCCTGGTGGCTCAGATGGTAAAGAATCCGCCTGCAATGCAGGAGACCTGGGTTTGATCCCTGGGTTGGGAAGATCCCCTGGAGAAGGGAATGGCTACACACTCCAGTACTCTGGCCTGGATAATTCCATGGATAGAGGAGCCTGGAAGGCTATAGCACAAGGGGTTGCACAGAGTCAGGCACGACTGAGCGATTTTCACTTTCAGTGGGTTGAACGGTGGCCCCAAAAGATGTGTCCCCCCAGAACATGTGAACAAGACTGTATCTGGGAATAGGGTCTTTGGAGATGCATTTAAAGAAGTGGAGGTGAGGCCATCTTGGGTGTGGGTGGCCCTCAATCCAATTAGCAGGTTCCTTGTAAGAGAAAAAAGAAGATAGACACAGATACAGAGGACAAGCTGCATGATGAGGATGGCAGAGATGGGAGGGAGGGGGCCACGAGCCCAGGGCCTCCTGGAACTCCCAAAGCTAGAAAAGGCAGGAAGAACCCCATCCTGGAGCCCCTGGGGGGCCACAGCAGCTTGATCTCAGACATCTGGCTTGCAGGACTGTGGGAGGATGAACTCCTGATGTTTTAAACCACCCAGCTTGGGGTCCTTTGTTAGAGAAGCCACAGAGCAGCCACACAGACCCTGCTCTGTAGGATCCTAGAAGTGTGGGTCTCACTAAAGGCAGATGGAGGCCAGCTTACAGAACCCTTGGAGTCAGCATTGGGTCCTCAGAAATGATAAAGCAGTGACTGTGATAGCTTGCGGTGAATGGTGTCGGATTCGTGATCTCTGAAGAAGAAGATTTAGCTGCGGGACCAGGGACAGGCTTGGTCACTCAAGAACTTTTGTATAGCAGAGTTCTAAAGTGGAACGGGACAGGGAAAACTTCTGACATTGACATCAGAAAGGGGTGGAGAGTGTCCCCCTCACTAGTCTCAGCAAGGGAGCTATATAATCTTATCAATTGGTTAGTACAGTAAATCAAAAGAATGTCTCAAGGTTGTAAAGATCTTACTAGACCCACTCCCATAATATACATTTTAAGATAACAGGATTAGTCAGAATGTTTTCAGGAAGGATAAACATGTCCTCAAGCAGGATACATTGTTGTTATATAATCCTTAGTACAGAGTTTAAACTGAGTTGTTTGTTGTGTAATCATCAGTTCCAGGCTTAAAGAAAAAAGAAAAACAAAAACGTTTTAGGTGGCTAAGACTAAGGAATGTAGAGAAAAAAATGTGTTTGTCCTTTTCTCCTCTTTGAAAACTCCACACCCCTCTCTCCTCCTTGGGGACCCCGGACTTCTTATCAACCTGCCTAGGAATTGACTCTCATTCCCTGCTTTTCTTTTAGGAGAATTATGTTCCCAAAGGAAAGGGATGCCATTTTCATTCCATAACTACTTCCTGCTGTGATGGCACGCTGTCTCTAAATTGTTGAGGCAACATATGCTCCTAACCCTCAGACTGAGGGTCTCTGATCCAGGGCCCCCAAGTAACGATTGGAAGAGGCTGTGGCACGTGGAGGAGCCTGGACAGCCGTTTGTCACTTTAAAACTTTCAGATGGTTAGAAACAAGCCCAGTTACACAGTCACAGATGCAGAGAGAAAACAGTGAAAGCACATCGATTGGAATGATTCCAATTAAGATAGATTTCCACCATGGGAAGCTAGTTAACGTTTCCCAGAGTGAGGTGACTGAGGCTTCAGGAGAATCCATAGCCTGCATCACCTTGTTCATGTATTTAGTAAAGTGAGTAACATTAGATGGTAAGCGTCTGTCTGCAATGCAGGAGACCCGGGCTTGATCCCTGGGTTGGGAAGACCCCCTGGAGAAGGAAACAGCAGTCCACTCCAGGATTCTTGTCTGGGAAATCCCATGGATAGAGGAGCCTGGTGGGCTACAGTCCATTGGGTCGCAAAGAGTCAGACATGACTGAGCGACTTCACTTTCAAGGTTGGCCCAGGGGTTTGTGTAAGCTTTGTAGAGGGTGCGATTTGTGCTGAGTTTTTGTTTGTCTGTTTGTTTTTCCTCTCATGGGCAAAGCTGAGTGAGGTGGTAATCCTGTCTGCTGATGATTGGCTTTGAATTTTTGTTTTGTTTGTTATTTAGATGAGGTGTGCCACACAGGGTGCTGCTGGTGGTTGGGTGATGCTGAGTGTTGTGTTCAAGCAGTTTCCTTTGTGTGAGTTCTCACTATTTGATAATCCTTAGGTTTAGTTTTCTGGTTGTCTAGGGTCTTGGAGTCAGTGCCCCCACTCCAAAGGCTCAGGGCTTGATCTCTGGTCAGGAATGAAGATTCCACAAGTCGTTTGTTATGGCATTAAGTGAGATTAAAACAAATATCCAAAAATGAACAACCAAAGATAAATCCCAGACAAATGGCCATTACAAATTCAGGCAAATAATAATTAAAATAGTGGAATATACACATAACCATATACACCCATGAGCAAAGCCAAAACAGTCCAACAAATATAAAGTACAGCAAATTGACCTGGCAAACAAAGGAAATCAAAAATTTTATTTACCCGTTTAAAACAAAACTAACTAAAATACAAGCTGGAAAACAAAACTAAAGCAAGGTGCCAAATGGGGAAGAAGGCAATGAAACAAAACTAACAAATATGTTCAGAGGAAATGAAAGAAAGAAAGAATAGATATGCAAAGTTAAATAGAGGTAGATGAAGAAGATTTATAAACATCAAAGATTAACTGCAAGGGGAAAAGAACAGTAGGAAAGGAAAACAAAGGAATAAATATAGAAAAAATATAATAGGTTTAAAAAGTTAAGCATTGAAATTATAAAAAAGAGAAAGAAAAAGAAAATGGAAGAAGAAAGAAAAAAGGGGGAGGGGAGCGAAACTCCAGAGACCTGCAAAAGCCCAACATAGAGTCAGAGGTTTATAACAACAATAGAAAATGTGACTGAGGAAAAAAAAAGTTCAAAAGCTTAATTAGATTTCTTAGTGCCAATAAAATTGACAACTACAACAGGGGATAGGGTATAGGGGGAAAAATAGAAAAAAAAAATCCAAAGAATCTACAGAACAAGTGAAGAAATAAGAATAAAAAATATTTTTCTTGAGTCACTGCTGTCCGAGTCCTCTCCCTCCCTGGGAGTCACAGTCTACTTCACCTCCCTAGGATGCCCTCCAGCACCACGCTGATCTCTGGATCCGCTGTGAGGGCAGCTCAGGGTCTAATCTGCTACGACTCCTGTGTGTTCTTGCCTCCAATGTCCACAGCTATCAGAACTAGTGCATTTTCTTTTGTGGGAGCTCTCAATGGCCTTTGATATATTCCATAGACATGGAGTCGGCCTAGTTGATCATGTGGGTTTAACCTGCAGTTTGTACAGCTGGCAGAAAAGCTTTGGGTCTTCCTCCTTAGCCACACTGCCCCTGGATTTCAGCTGTGGTTCTGTTTCCACCTCTGCGCGTGGCGTCCACCGGGGTTTGCTCCTGAGGCTGCCCTGGAGGACCTGGGCTTGCCCCAGTGAGGGCCGAGTGTGGAGGTGGCGCAGCTGCTTGGCTTGTGGGGACCCTGTTGGCGCCAAGTGTGCAGGGACACGGCCTGCCCCCACCACAGGAGTTACGGCCCTATCTGAGTCTTTTGTCAAGCCTCTTGTAGCTGGTGATCAGGAGGCCTCTTTGGCCAGTCTTTCTCCACAGCTCCGCCCATTCAGGCACTTAGAGGGCTCCCTGGCCTGGGGCCCTTCCCTGCTGTTCTATGCATCAGGCACATAGAGGGGCCCGCTGGCTGGTTCCTACTCTGTGGATACGCACGTCAGGCACTTAAAGGGGCTCCCTGGGTGGGGTTCTACTCTGTGGTTCAGTGCGTCAGTCCTTTGATGGGCCAGGCTCTCTATTGTTCAGCTGCCGATGCTGGCAGGTGGGGAGAGAGAGGCTGTGGTGATGGCTCCACCCCCTACGCGTGACTCAGCTGTACCACCTTGCTTCCGTGGCTGCCTGGCTTTCCTCCACAGGCGTTTCCCAGCACAATCTCCTCCCTCACATCCCTTTGATCCATCTCTCCAGTCAACAGCAACCCTTGCCCTGGGATTGCTCCACAATCCCTAAACCCAGCTCCTAGCTGCTGGGCCTTCCAGGGGGCCCGTGTCCCTGTCTGGAGTGTGTATGGCTGTGGTAGGGACTGTGTGAGTCTCATTCCATTTAGGCTGCCCCAGACCAGCTGTTTCGCTCTCAGCCTTAAACGTTCCTCCTCTGACTCGGATAATTGCCCCTCTGTGGGGATCAGACCCCTGCTTCCGTTTCCCTACCTGCTGAGGCAGGTCCCGTCCTACGAACGCTCCTGTCCCCCCACCCCCTAGTTTCTTTGTCCTACTCAGTTTTGCTTGGGTCTACATACTCTTTTCCACTGGTCAGGTCCTCCTGCCCGCTCTCAGCTGGCGTTCCGCCCGCACGTCTGTGTCTGGAGGTCCTCCCTGAGGCGTCCGTGGAGAGCGGCGCCGCACGCCCGCCTCCTGCTCCGCCATCTTGTTCTGGGCGCTGAGGGCTTCGCCACAGCGGCGTCCTGCTGGAGGACAGCGTCGCTCCCTCGAAAGCCTTCGAACTTCCTGTTGTCTTAGCACGAGTATTACGGGGGTGTGCGGTAAGGTCTTTCTATTGTTAGCTCTAATCCTGTCCTCTTAAAATGCAAATTGTGGGGGTGGGTCTAGGAAGATCTTTACAAACTTGAGGCATTTTTTGATTTATTGTAATAACCAATTAAAAAAGCATATAGCTCCCTTGCTAAGACTAGCAAGGGCGGCACTCTCCATCCCCCTTCTGATGCCTATGTCAGGATCTTTCTCTGTGCCTCTTCTGCTTTAACAGAACTCTGCTACACAAAAGCTCTTGCCTGATCAAGTCTGGTCCCTGATCCCAAAGCTAAATCTTCTTTGGAGATCACGAATCCAACATCCTTCACTGTAAGCTATCAGCTTTTCCGAGTTAGTGGGATGTCACCTCCTTTTCACTTTTTTTCGGTTCTTAATGTTGGGTCATGGCCAATGGTTGGTGCGTCACTTAATATACTGATTGAGTTAGCATCGAGCAGTGATGTGAAGAGATCTTAATTCCCTGCCCAGGAACTGAACCTGGGAAGTCCTGGATGAGAACCAGGAATCCTAGCCACCAGACCAGCAAGGGCTAGCAGCTAGAAGTTATTTTTCCCTGGATCTTTGCCCCCAGTAAAAATGTTTTTACCATGGAGGCAGAAACTGTAAATGCAGGTATAGAATTTATTATTAGAGACATAGCATAATGGCAGGTGGGAGAGCACATAGAGAAATGGTTAGTTAAGATAGAAGCAAGGCAGAGAAAGGGTGTGGGGCATCCCCCTCAAGTGAGGGTGAGCACAGCAAAGAGGCAGTTAAGTCATTTATATAGGGCAGTTCTTCCGGGTCTTTGTTTTCCTTCAGGCCAATTACCTGGTTTCTTTTCCCACACTTGACCTACCCTGGGACACTCCCCTGGGTGCACTCTCACCCCTCAGCCAAGATGGATCTCAAAGTGAAGGCTTCTGGGAGGAGCAAGACTCATTAGGGCCTGGCATTATCTCTTGAGTTCTGACCCACAAGAAGTCTTTCTCTGCATGTGTCATGTCTCCCTTGTCCCACAGATGGAGGGGGGAGGGGGGCATTAATTCTTTACTCATACAGGCTTTTGCCCCCTCTTTGCCCTTGCCATGACTATTACCTTAAGGTGTTAACAAGAGACAAACACTGGCTATTTTCTCTCTGTTGTTACTTCCATTTCAGAGGGCAAACAGGAGGCTGATTGTAAATACGTAGACTGAAGCCCACCTATCTCTTCTATCAGAAATGCTAAGTTGTAAGCATCCAGTCTGAAGCCCATTTCTTTGTGTCCCATGAAATTCCTACAGGAGACCAGTTATAAATGTCTAATCTGGAGCCCATCTATCCCCTACATCAATAATACACTAGAATCAACACACAGTGAGACTCGGGGTCTGTTGGAAGTCAGATTCGCTGCCATTGTGGTCCCAGCTGGTTCCATCTGGTTTTGTTTGTAGCTTCCTCTCTTCTCTCTAGACCGTTACTTTAAAGACTTTTGTTACGTCCTGCTAAAGGTGTGAACAAGGCTAAAGGATTGTGAACAAGGACACTCTTATGAAAGGAGGTCCCAGATGCTGCTACAGTACCCCCGATCCTTTCCTGAGAATACTGAGTGGAGGGGGGCATTCAGGCAGCAGGGCAGACAGCTTGCTCTGGATGCTCCTGAGGGGAAGGGGGCGCACAGCAACAGGAGCTCAGCCTGCAAACCCCAGAACCACTCACATATTGCCTCCAGAACCACTCCTGGAGTGGCAAGAAGGGGTGTCCCGACTACTAGAGTGGAGGAAGGGGCGGGGTCTGCAGGGCCACCTCACCTCGGGACCTGCGGGGAGGCTGCAGCGCTCAGCACAGGCTGGTGTGCCCACAGCTGAGATGCACCTCAGGGCGCAGTGGGTAGACACTGGTCACTCACAACGCATCCTGCCTCTCCCTCGAGGGTGTCTAGGGTGTCTCTTCCCCCAGAGATGAAGGGTGGAACTCTGACAGTCACCGCACCCACCCCACATCCCCACCCCCGTCCCCTCAGGGAAGCTCATTAGAGACTTGGCTCCCAGCTGGAGGCTGGTCATGTGGTGGTGTCTGATCTCAACCTCCAAAACGTCAGTGCTGAAGAGGGGTGCCAGGGCTCAGCATGAGCCTCATGGTTAGTGCAAACAGCATAGGTGCAGGGGGCTGCCCCTAATGGGAGGGAGGCTTTAGATCAGGGCAGGGAGCTTCCCACCAGCTGCTTGAGCTTCCTGGGTGAGCAGTGACAAATGACCACACACAGATGCTCCGAATAACAGAAGCGTGTCCTCTCAGTCCTGGAAACCAGATGTCTGAGGTCAGGGTTTCCCAGTGCTGCAGTCCCTTCAGAGGCTCCGGCCAAGGGTCCTTCCTGCCTCTTCCAGTTTTTGGGCTCCAGGCATCCGCGGAGCCCACACTGTTTCAATGTGTCCAAAGTGCTTTGTGAAGTTTTATGCTGCAGATTTCTCATTGGACGATGTGCCATATGTGGGTAGACCTGTTGAAGTTGAACATGATCAAATAGAGACATTAACTGAGAACAATCAACTTTGCACCATGCAGGAGATAGATGACATACTCAAATATCCAGCTCAAGGATTGAAAATCGTTTGCATTCCCTGGTTAGATTAATCACTTTGATGTTTGGGCCTGCAGCCCTCCACATCAGGCCTCACTCAACTCCCAGAGTGTTCCCTTTCACAGGAGAGATTTATTTCCTGCTTCCAAGGAGACAGACAGGAGATGGAACCTTTAACCTTACCCTTGAATTGAGCCCTTTAACATGAAGTTGGGGATGGGAAAAGAACTGGCCAATTTCTAGGACCTACAATGGTCTGTTTTTTTTTTTTTTTATACTTTTCACTAGCTTTGCCTGTTTTCTAGGATGTGGGTCAAAGTGTTTCTTTGTGCGCTCACAATTTACTCACTTCAGAAGCCACATGGAACCATCAGAGAAACCATGAATTTGAGAAGTAATAGCTAATCAGAAACCCAATGTTCATTATTCAGAATTGTTTATGTTTTTCCTGGAGCAAATAGTTACTGGAACCACAAGATAAATGATAAAAGTTAATCCCTCTACACTGTAACATTTAACATGGGTTCATCTGGGCTTCATTTATTTACACACCAAGGTGAGCATGTTACTGCTCCTTGGTGCAGGCTGCAAAACTTTTCAGCGAGCACCCCCGAGTTGTGTGAGAAATAGGAGCATTTCATCTGTATTTAAAACACACAAGGCTCAGTATTAGGAATTCACAGATATCGCGACTCTCAATTATCTGAGTTATATGTGTTACCGAACCAGGTTTGCGTTCCCCATAGTGCATGTGGGCTCATGTTCCCCTCTTCATGATCCAATGGACTGTTGTCCGACAGGCTGCTCTGTCAGTGGGGTTTCCCAGGAAGGCATCCTGGAGTGGTTGCCATTTCCTTCTCCAGGGATTTTCCCGACCCAGGGAAGAGGAGTTAGGTGTGTCCTATGGATCAAGGGTAAGGGGGAAGTAATGAAACACAAACCTTTTGATGTTTGGTGTTTCTCCTGGCCCAGTTCAGTTCAGTTCAGTGGGTCAGTCGTGTCCGATTCTTTGCGACCCCATGGACTGAAGCACGCCAGGACTCCCTGTCCATCACTAACCTCCGGAGCTTACTCAAACTCATGTCTATTGAGTCGGTGATACCATCCAACCATCTCATCCTCTGCCATCCCCTTCTCCTCACGCCTTCAATCTTTCCCAGCATCAGGGTCTTTTCCAATGAGTCCGCTCTTCGCATCAGGTGGCCAAAGCATTCCACTCTAGTTGACAATCCGCGCACAGGCTCCCCTGCCCGAGGAACCAGAGTTGAGCATGGAGAGCTGCTGCCACCTTGTGGCCACATCCAGTCAAACACCCTTAAAACCTGTTCTCGAGGAGTCTTACCATTCCAAAGGCCTGTGGTGGTTTAGTCGCTCAGTGGTGTCCAGCTCTTTGTGACCCCATGGACTGTAGCCCACCAGGCTCCTCTGTCCATGGGGTTTTCCAGGCAAGAATACTAGAGTGTCTTGCCATTTCCTTCTCCAGGAGAAATTCCCGACCCAGGGATCGAACCTGGGTCTCCTGCATAGTCGGCAGATTCTTTACTGACTGAGCCACCAGAGAAGCCCCATTTTATTCAAAAGGCCTGAGAGGCTGTCAATGGCAACTACCCTTCAAGTCACGTCCCTGAGAAAGTCATCAAAAAAGAATTCAAAGTGGGATCCAGTTTCAACAGGTACATTGGACTCGCACTGTCTAAAGTCCAAAACACTTGGGAACATACTTCACATGACTACTTCCTAAAGCGAGACCCATCAAACCCACCACGAGGAATCACCCCTCATATTGCTCAGAAAGACCAACATCAAAAAGATCTACTGAAACTAAGTCCCACAGAGGGCTCAGAGAATAAGGAATCCTCCTTCCCTCCTTGCTGGATGTAAATGGGTACAGGAAATATGCAAAGCAGCATAGGAATTTCTTAACAAACAAACAAACAAGCAAAACTAAGCACAGGAGAACCTCCTGTGAAGTGAAAACTCCTCATGCCATGTTAATAGACAAGAAATGTCACACCATCAACAATTTCTGGCCTCCACATGTGAATGAGGGCTCCCCAAACAATCCTGCAAATGCTGCCACCCCATCACGGTGATTGCTGAGGAGCTGGGGGAATGCAAGAAGCAACCTGAGCAAGGACACAGGATTCGCCCCAGATAGCTGAGATGCAAAAGAATTCAGTGAGCCCAGAAGCTTACATCTTCCCAAACACAGAATGCTAAATTCCTTAAGTTGATACCTGATTTTGATATTCAGAGTGCCTGCTGCCTTTGTTGCAAATTTCCATGTAGCCTGTCTTAACCCTCCTGACTCCTTGCAGCAGTTTTCTCAGAGCTACTGAGATGCTATCTCCTGGGCTCAGAATCCTAAACATTCCCACCAAATAAAATAACTCCTTCCAGGTTGTGACTATACATTTTAGCAGACACTTCTGAGCGGGCTATACTTTT